CGCTTCCCAAGCGGCGCACTGTAGCAGTGCGCCACTGGGCTGGCCCCCCAAGGTACAAATTCTAAATTCAAACTTAGAAAGTAAATTGAGTTTAAATTTTTACATCTTTATATATAGCTTTTTTTGACGCATAACCATGGCCAAATAAATTTCATTCTTTTCACATTCTTTTCAGATTAATGTCACATTTAAGGAAGGATAGCCATCTTTAATTTTATTTTTTCTAAAATATTTAATGCATTAAACATTTATCTTTATGAACTTATCAAAGGCTGAAAAAGTTTAATAAACATTTTGCATGTAATGAAAATCTAGAACTAACTTTAGTAATATACCTATTACTTAGCTAAGCTAAGCTTTTCTGGAAAAAAAATAAATAAATAAACAGGAGGAAATCTTCTCTAGTCCAAGAAAAACAGATTGCTTATGCTTCCCAGCCCCTTTTCAGAATGTGTTTGTATGTGTGTGTATAAGTTCCTTTATATTTCTTCATTACAGTAGATATGCAAAAATAAAAATCTCTCCTTTATTTGAAGGTAGAAATTACATTAAATTCCATAATTGTTTTTATCAAATGGTACTCAGAACTCAGTCATTCTAGGCCGATCTTTGCAAGGAAACCAGTGAGCCTGTGGTGGATACTGTATTGTACTGCTCAGGTTCTTTCATCAACATCAAGGTGTCCCTTGCCCCAGCTGTTGGGAGGTTAACAGTTGACAACCCATTGTTGAGCCCAGCTCCAGGAATTGCCCCCCAAAGTTATATACCTTCCCAGGAACAGCTCCATTCACTGACTGGTGAATTAGGGATAAAATGGCCCAGGCCCAATACCTCAATGTGGGACATCTCTGAAGGGCCAGTGCAGCTCAAGAGCTCCCCACAGCATCTGCTGAGGCTCTGCTGCACCTGCATCACAGCTCAAACAGACCCCACCACTCTGCCCAGTTCTACTTCCTTTACTCCTTTAAAGGGGAGGTTCCTGAGAGAATTTCCAATGAACTTTCTTCATGGGAATTTGCCTCAGAGTTGGCTTCTCAGGGAACCCAACTTACAACACTATCCAACCATCAAAGCGTATTTTGCTTTAAATTAAATCCCCTCTGTATTGTTTCTCAAATTTTCCACTGAAATATTTTTGATGCAGGAAGAACATGAATTTGCACTCCTAAGGGGAATCTAGGGAGGCTCTTAGCCAGAAGCAATTCTTCATTAGCTCAACATTTCTTTTAAGTCTCGTGTTTTATCCTAATACAAATTTCTGTATTCTACTACATAATGTATCTATGCTTTTGCAATAGAAATGACTTCCTTCAGGTATTCAAATAAGATGAAAACTCCTGGATCATGTCCTATGTTTATCTTTTGACTTGAATGTACTCTAGTGTATACACTTCTTAAGCAGCATGGCTACAGTTTAGAACGTTTTCTTAAAATTTTAATTTTAATAGATTTATTCTTAGGTGTCACCCATGGAGTTACCTATTAAAGGTGAAGTCTCTCATTTAACTCTGTAAAATAGGTACAATATTAACTGTTCTCTCTTTATAATCCGAAAAATCTCAGCTCTACCTTAAACATATACTACTTAGTGAAAGAAGCCAACCTGAAAAGACTTCATACTGTATGATTCCAACTATACGACTTTCAGGAAAAGGCAAGAATATGGAGACAGTAAAAAGATCAGTGGCTGCTAAGATTTAGGGGGTAGGGAATAGGGTGAGGAAGAATGAAGAGGTGACACACAGGAGATATTTAGAGCAGTGAAACTGTTCTGTATGATACCATAATGGTGGGTACATTTGTCAAAATCCATACAACTTTCAACACAAAAAGTGAACCCTAATGTGTACTATGGGCTTCGGGTGATAATGATATGTCAGTGTAAGGTAATCTAAT